GGTTGGTGCTTTGTGATCTCCACCCAGCCGTGCCTTTGGTAAGATGAGGCTGTGACATACAAGTGAGGAAGAATGAGCAAGCATGAGAAAGAATAAAGAGAGACAATGAGTAGGGTTACGAAGAGTGGGATAAGTATCCAGTCGTGCCTCCGGTAAGATGAGGCCGTGACCTACAACAGAAAGTTAAGAGAAGAGTTATGAGAAGAGAGACAGAAAGAGAATCAATAGAAGTCACGTAGAGCGGGGGAAGTCTCGGTCGTGCCTCCGGTAAGATGGGGCCGTGACATTCAAAGAACGAGTTAATAGAAATGAATTATGAGAAATGAGAATGAGATAATAGAGAGAATGAGAAAGAATGAGAAAGCTTGAGAAAGAATGAGATAGAAAGAGAGAGAGTATGAGAAAGAATGAGAGAGATTGAGTTAGTAAGAATAGAGAGTAGAAGAAAGAAACATGCAGTTCTTTTGCATTAATTGCATGTACATCTCATACATGCATGCACCATGAGTTCTTCCATGGTTAGTGAGAGTATAACGAGAATAAGAGAGAACCATGATTTTCCTTCATGGTGAGTATGACGAGAATAAGAGAGAGAACCATGATTTTCCTTCATGGTGAGTATGATGAGAATAAGAGAGAATCATGATTTTCCTTCATGGTGAGTAAGAATAAGAGAAGGAAAAAAGAGAATAAGAACAGAGAGAAAGAAAGAATAAAAAGAGCAGAACAGAGTTAAAGTTGCGGGGACAGGTAGTAGAGGATTTACTTACTGAGCATTATTGTGCTCACCCCATTGTTCTTCCCTGTTTTGTAGGAAATATGAGCAGCGGTCGGATGAACGTTGAGGAGCAGAGAGTATTGGCATTACTGTCCACCAGTTATGATATTTTGTATTAAGTAGAAAGTTTTTAATACATAGTGTTTTGTATTTGTAAGAATTATATTTTATTGAGTAAAGAAAATTTGAGCCCACTATTTTCCATACGCTATGTTATCTATAATTTACATAGTATGAACTATAAGAATAGTAGTAAAGAACAGGTGTTACAATACAATTGCTCATGGAGAAAGGATCAGATGGAACACTGATGTTCTCTTCTTCCCTCTCATCTGCACTGCGATTGGAAGCCCTCGATCCCATTGTCCGCTTCTCCGCAAGCTCCTCCGTCAAGCTAAAAATGGCATCCTCAATTAAATGTCCCGGCCCCCTTCTGTGCCTCTGATTTCTCGCTCTTCCATGGCCAGATGTGTTTGGCCGTTTTTCCCCTGTCAAACGATCAGGATCAGGTTCAAAGTCGCTATCATCCATAGGAACCACGTCGGGATTGGAATAACTAGAGGTCTCCACCTGTTAGGATGTAGATGTGTACGCATATCTTCCAGTGGCAGTTTGTTTCTCAAATATTATTTCATAAAGTTCCTTGTAAGGAAGTCCCTTGTGATAAAATTGTTGCGCCAGTGGGTTTTGCTAGTAAGTTAAAAGAATAATATATTAATATTTAGCAGTCCGAAAAAAATGCGTACATTTACAGTGACATTGAATAATAATAGTTAAAAAATATGAAAATTTACCATGACATATTCTTGCCAAACCTCAACGAGGCACGTTGGATTTTGTGACTCCTGATCCCACCCGAACCCCGTGTGTTGCAGCAATTTCCGTCATGCTTGATAAAGTTTTCGCAAGCGAAAGAACTTAGAGGTTAATTGTGTCACGTTGAGTCTCCTGCCAGCCAGTGATGATATGTCATCCAACATTTCTTGGTAATGAGTTGTTTTTATTGCAGTACCATGTGAAGTTTTGGCTCGCTCAAATAACAAGACCAGAAATTTGTGGGTCATCTCAACGGACCAGGCCACAGAATCACCCATCTAAGGACAGTACGGTGAGGGACAACCAACATTGGGGCACCATACCAATCACCAATCACCAATCACATTACAAAATATAATACTCACATGTTAACGTAATCAACTAAACACATATAAAATTATACCTCGTTCGATCCAACATTGCTTGAAGATGTCAATGCAGGGGAAGATACAGACAATGTCGACCAACAGGGTGTATGACGAACTCCAAGTCTGGAAAAATGTCGAAACTTTCGCCTCTGTTGTAAGTAATAATCAATCTTGCGACATCGAGACAAATTATGCTGACATCTGTGCATATGAGCGTAATTTCTGGTTATGATTAAAGAACGATGTCGAATCTACAGAATAAATAAATCAATTATTGAAACCGGAATAAAATATTTGAGTCAACCAATTACAAAATGCATTATTAAAGTCCAAATTAAAAGGATTAATGAAAAGAAAAAAATAGTATTAATACAAATTATTTCCAATAAAAAAATGAAAAAAATAGCGTCTCGGTGTCTTGAAAACAAATAGGTAACGGAAACTTACAAACTTGATTTGGATACTTTGTGGGTCTCTTTCCCTTCTCTGAGTCAGCTAAACATCAAATACAATTAAAGGGATCCATGTGTGTACACGAGATTAAAAAGCTGTCAAACAAAACAAAAAACCCAATTAAAACAATTCTGGTCCAATTGCCGAATAAAACAAAAACCCAATTAAAACAATTATGTGCCAATTGCCGAATAAAATAAAAACCCAATTAAAACAATTCTGTGCCAATTGCCGAATAAAATAAAAACCCAATTAAAACAATTCTGTGCCAATTGTCGAGTAAAATAAAAACTCAATTAAAACAAAAACCCAATTAAAACAATTAATTGCCGAAAAAACCCAATTAAAACAATTCCAAATGAAACAAAAACCCATCCATGCGTGTGCCCCACGAGAAATAAAACAAAAACCCATCCATGCACATTCACAATCCATTCATGCCAAACAAAGACAAAACACAAAACAGCTTCCCCTTTTACGCAGATCTGAGGTGGGTTTGATCCAGATTGGGGTGTTGTTTGATCCAGATCAGGGTGTGGGTTTGCGGCAGATCGGGTCACGGTGATAGTGGGTGCGTGTGTGCTCGGGGTGGGTTGGTTTGCGGTAGATCGGGTCACGGTGGGTGCGTGTGTGCTCGGGGTCGGTTGGTTTGTTGTAGATCAAGTCACGGTGGTGCGTGTGTGCTTGGTGTGGGTTGCTTTACGGTAGATCAGGTCATGGTGGGTGCGTATGTGCTCGGGGTGGGTTGGTTTGCGGTAGATTGGGTCACGGTGGGTGCATGTGTGCTTGGGGTGGGTTGGTTTACGGTAGATCGAGTCACGGTGGGTGCGTGTGTGCTCGGGGTGGGTTGGTTTGTTGCAGATCGGGTCACGGTGGGTGCGTGTGTGCTCGAGGTGGGTTGGTTTGCAGTAGATCGGGTCACGGTGGGTGCGTGTGTGCTCAGGGTGGGTTAGTTTACGGTAGATCGGGTCACGGTGGGGTTCTAAGGATCAGATCGGGTTACGGTGGGGTTCTAAGGATCAGATCGGGTCACGATGCGGTTGTAAGGATCAGATCGGGTCATGGTGGGTTTGTGTGTGACAGATCGGGTCACGCTGGGTTCATGGTTGGGGATCTGAGGTAGGTTAACGGTGGGTTTGTGTGTGAGGGATTTGCGGGTTGACGATGGGTTCATGTTGGGTTAGGATGTGGGTTTGTGACAGAGGGTATTGCGGGTTCACGGTGCGAAGTGAAGCATTGAAGCTGGTACTGGATACTAGAAAGTGAAATGGTGGTAATGCAAACTGGAAAGTGAATCACTGAACCTGGTAATGGATTATCAAAAACTGAAATGGTGGTGATAGATACTGAGAAAGTGAAGCACTGAAAACGATAATGCCAACTGAGAACTGAAGCACGAAGATGCAGTGAGGATACTGAGAAAGTGAAATGGTGAAGTAGTGAAGATGCAGTGAAAAAAATGAAAAAACAAATTGTAACGGTAAAAAAAAAATTTGTCAGGATAGTTGTCAGGATTGAATTATCAGGACAGGATTCTGTAAATAATAAAACAAACACTATCTGTAAAATCCGGTCCAAAATATGGATAAAAATACTTAGCCAAACGCGCCCTAAAATGTGCCCAATCAATGCTTCTTCTTTTCATGTTTAAAGCATGTAGTTGGGGCCTTATCATCCATGCATTGCCACAAAATTTATAAACACATGTCCTAGTTAAAAGTTTAAATAATGAAAAAATTTGTGTAACAGATCCATATACAACCAATCAAGCAGAGAGGATGTACTTGTATAGTAAACACTAGAGCCACAGCTGGGTTGTGTTGTGCCATGCCTAAAAATTCAAGGTCTGTCATACCATGGACCATGAGATTTATGCTTTGTCGTGTCGTGTCGAATCACCAAATCTGAAGGCCCATGGCACAGTCCACTATATATCGTGTCGTGTCGTGTCTTGGTCTAACCTGTACTATTTCTTGTGTTTGAGTAAAATACTCCCAAACCGTTGATTTTTTCTTTCTTTTCTTTCATAGGGGTTGGCGGTTGTGACTGTGATAGATTTTGTGGTTATTCTGATGGTGACTCATTATCAAAATAATCAAAATGATTAAATTCATTTAAATTTGAATCCATTTTGAAATTTGACTAAAAAGTAAAATAAATTTGATGAAAAAACTAATTGAGAATTGAGAGAGATTATGAGAGCTTGAGAGTTAAAGAGAAAGGAGAATGAAGATTGGAATTGGAGCGTGAAAAAATAAGAAAAATAATGGGGTATTTATAGAGCATGCATTCATTTGGTTCCCCAGGAGAGAAATTGTTTCTCTCATATATTTCATTTATCAAAACCCACTCATATCTGAGCAACCCAGACGGTTAGGGCAAATTGGTTTCGATTCTCAATGTAAAAAAATATATCAACATAAACACCCATTAATAAATTTTATTTTATTTATTAAAATATTATTTATGATTATTAATTAAATTCCATTTAATAGCATCAATAAATTTAATCAAGCACGGATTAATTAATTAAAGTATCTAAACCATATATATATATATATATAAAGACTTCAAACCCTAAACAATTGGATCAAAATCCCTGTATACGACCCGCCACCAATATACACTCGCACACGCCGGCCACTCTTGGCGCCCACTTAACAGTATCGGCAGCCGCCTGCGACGCCACCCAGCAGCCCATCCAGCACGCACCGCGACGTCAATCGCCTGCCACAAGCCAGCTACTTAGTCGCCGGAAAAAAATGTGAGTGAAATGAGCTTAAATTTTAAACTTGATTGGTTAATGATGTGTAACCTAGATTTACAGCTATGCAGCTCGAGGTTGAATCATAAAATTTGAATTTTGGAAACTGTGCGTATTAAAGATTGAATTTTTAGTTTTAGAAGAAATTTAAATTCTTAAGGATGTTGAAAAAAATCTGAAACCTTAATTGACTTGTTTCTTTCACCAGCCAGCGATGGCAGGAGGCAAATTGAAGAAGGAGAAAGCTAAGCACACAAGTGCTCCTTATCAAGGTGGCATAACGTTCCACAAATCAAAGGGTCAGCACATCCTCAAAAACCCTTTACTTGTGGACTCCATTGTCCAGAAAGCTGGAATCAAGAGCACTGATGTCATTCTTGAGATTGGTCCTGGTACTGGCAATCTCACCAAGAAGCTTCTAGAAGCTGGCAAGATGGTCATCGCCGTCGAGCTCGACTCCCGTATGGTTCAAGAGCTTGGCCGCCGCTTTCAGGGCACCCCTTTTTCGACTCGTTTGAAGGTACTTGTAGATGTATCTTTCAGTCTTTTGCTGACTACATAAAAATTTAACTACCGTTCGGTTCAATTCTCAGTTTAGGGTTGATTTTTTAAGAAGGGTGTTTTCAATTTTTGCCTTTGTGTCATTAAATATATATCCTGAAATTTTGGTCTCTTAATATTCACAGATCATTCAAGGCGATGTGTTGAAGACCGATCTTCCCTATTTTGATATATGTGTGGCAAATATTCCTTACCAAATTTCTTCTCCGCTCACATTCAAGTTGTTGTTTCACCAACCTGCCTTCAGATGTGCAATCATTATGTTTCAGAAAGAGTTCGCAATGAGACTGGTTGCACAGCCTGGTGACAAGCTGTACTGTCGGCTTTCTGTGAATACCCAACTCTATGCCCGAGTTTCTCACCTCCTCAAAGTTGGGAAGAATAATTTTCGCCCCCCACCTAAGGTTGATTCCTCAGTAGTTCGAATTGAACCTAGGAAACCACGTCCGCAAGTAAATCCTAAGGAGTGGGATGGATTTATACGGATGTGTTTCATAAGAAAGAACAAAACACTTAGCTCGATTTTCAGGCTGAAAACCGTCCTTTCGTTGCTTGAGAAAAACTACAAGACCCTTCAGGCGCTAAAGTCCTCACAGAGTAGTTCCATGGAGAATCTTGATATTGAATTGGATATATCGAGACTGGGGGATTTTAAGGAGGATCAAAAAATGGACATGGATGGTGGAACTGATGATGAAATGGAGGTGGAGGATGGTGATGATGATGAAGGTGATGCAGAAGGTGAAGTATCTGGGTTCAAAGATAAGGTTTTGGCCGTGTTGAAGGAGGGACAGTTCGAAGAGAAGAGGGCATCTAAGCTCACTCAACAGGAGTTCTTATATCTACTTTCTCTGTTCAACAAGGCTGGAATACACTTCTCTTGATGTCAGAGAGTCATATATTTCATGTATATTACAAGCATACCCAATTTTGTTTAGCATGCTTTCGAGTCAAGTAAGTGGTCATCTTACTATTTTTGTTCTTTTCATTTTTAAAATTATTATTGGCACGTTGATCATTTTATTTCCGGTTGTGATTGAACCTATTAAACTAATCTTTATGATGTGAATCAGTCATGTGAAAGGAGATATCAATCTATCATTATTTGACATTTGAAAGATGTGTAACTGAAACCTTCTGATCTTTAAACCCACTACGTATCTGTACACAGACCTCATTAGGAGCTGGTTTTTATACCCGACAAGCACAAATAAATTTAATTCATGTTAGTTGTTATTGTTCTTTAGGCATGAGATTATTCTCAAACCTAAATTAAGTTTGTTTAGTGCCGAAGTAAAACAGTTGCATCTGTGATGACTGAAGACTGGTGTCAGAGTTAACTTTGTTTATTTATCTACAGTTTCAGTACTCTTTCTTTACGAGTCAGTAGAAAGGAAGACACTGATGAAGATTACCTAGGTTGCACCCATGTTAACTATTTCAGGATAAGGAAGTCAGTAAATAAGAAATTCATGACCAAACTTAGTTTTGCGGTAACAATGTAGAGTCTGTGCGGTGGCCAGTGGGTTCAGAATCAAGACATACTGTTCCCTATTTAAAACCGGCGTCAGGAACATTACTTAACTAGAATTATAATAAATCACTAAAAGAGGTCAAAACGTCTTATTTTGAAACTAGAAGTCTCCCTCAATACTATTAAAGCACAACAATAAGATGAACAAGCGTGAGTGGATTATTCAAGATAACTAGTCATTCTCTAACCATAAAAAGACAGAATCCATTTACTTATTGACAGCAAAGTTCCTGTATATAAATCAAATTTATTATTAAAAGTAACATACAAGTTCAATAGAGTCGATAAAGTTTGGAAGTGTGTCAATTTGCAGAAGCTGAAGTTTTAAGCCCAACTAAAGAATGTTTATAAAATACTTACTGCCAAATCATTTCCACTCCAAGGTGATATGCTGCATTTGGTACTTGGTGCATGACAGTGGAAAGGCCTTGCTCAATGAATGGGTTTAAAGCTGTGGGATGAAATGAATGCAAGAAACATATCCCCATATGTGTATACTTTTGCTATTCTTATTAATGCTCTGTGCAAGGACAATAGGCTAAATGAGGCTCGCAGGTTTTTTGAGTCAATTAAAAGTGCAGTAATATGGTTCCCACACCCTTCAAGTACAACCCTGTGACTGATTAATGAGCTTTGCAGGGCTGGTAATGTGGATTAGGCAAATGCGGTTGTGACAGAAATGGAGGAGAAGAGATGCAAGCAGCAAGCCTAATAAAATAACATTTACCATTCTAATTATTGGGCATTGTATGAAGGGAAGAATATTTGAGGCTATTAGCATTTTCAATAAGATGATGGCAATTGGTTGTGTCCCAGATAATATAACTGCAAATGCATTGATATCTTTCCTTTTAAAGGCTGGGATGTCTAATGAAGCCTCTCGCGTTAAGCAATTGTTATCAGGGGACCTGAACTTGGCTTTTCCATCCTTGAAGGTATGTACAAGTACAACTTAAGAATGCTAATAAAATACTTGCTGCTAATCATTTGCACTCCAGGTATGGTTTCTCAAGAATGGGAAAGCCAAGTTCAGGTCCTCTTATGTCAATTGCGTAACAAGGCTTCATTAGGCATCCCAGCCTTAAAAAAGAAAAGATATCAATGAATTTTTAGGTATATTATCCAGGGCACAACCAATTGTCACCATCTTATCGAAAATGCTAATAGCCTCAAAGATTTTTCCCTTAATACAATGCCCAATAATTAGACTGGTAAATGTTATTTTATCAGGCTTGCATCTCTTCTCCATTTCTGTCATAACGGCATTTGCCTCATCCACATTACCAGTCTTGCAACGCCCATCAATAACAGAGTTGTGCATCTCATCAAAGTATACATTCAGCCTCCTCCATCTTACCTGCACTAACCCAATATGACTGATGTTGAGAATAGCCAAAACTCTGCATATTGCAGAAAATCTCAAAAGCCTTATTAACTTCTCCTATACTGCACAAATCTCGGATCCAAGTGCCTGGTCGAGAGTACAATCTAAAATGCTCTTTAGACAGGAAAATGGCCTCAATAACTTCATTCTGTTTAACCAGCAAATTCAACAAACTATTACGCGGAAAAGTATCCGTAGCAATTCTTTCAGATGGCAGCTGAGAAAGCAATTCCTTGACAACATCAAATTTTCCTACTTTTATAAATGACAAAACCAAAAATTTTATCATTAAACTGTTTGGCAAATGGCCATCACTCCTCATATAATCAAACACCACTTGAGCCACATCATGTAGACCCGACTCACATAAAGATCTTAGAAGTAAATGTTAAGTCTTGAAAGAATGATGGAGACTCAAGTTCACTGTACTAAACTCCAAAAACTGAAGGCCAATCTTGGGTTATCTAACCGTTAAATTACCTCAAACGATCTTAGAGGATTCAAGTTCTGACTGAAATATCCCAAACAACTACCCAAACAAAAATGAGAACGAACTAATAGCATACACACAACTCTAACAAACAACAACTCGGGGCTACATCTACGTATTAACCCTTTGGTTTCAAAGGGGCGAGACCCTCCGTGACAATGAGCAATGGCAGATACCGTGGAGGCTCGAACTCTTGAAGGACAGGTAGTGATAGGAGGGTTATCAGCCTCAGTTTTAAACCCACAAAACCCTCTTGTTTGAAGATAACCGGATGATGTATTGGATTGATTAGATTTTGAATTAGGCTGTTGGTTAAGGCATCTATTGTTAAGAAACCATAGCAAAACAAAAGTTATAGAACCCAGATTTACTTTAGATTCTGGATTGGAGGAATCAAGAACAAGCTGATTTCTGAGTGTGAGATTGTGCATTTGCTATGAAGGGAACTGTGCCATAGGTCACAAACTTAGGGTTTCAGATGGTTGCTGGCGTACTGGGGTTTAGTTTGGTCATTGTACGGTCAAGTTAGAATTGCTGCTGGTTTAAGGGGCTGGTTTTGACATCTGTTTGTTGGGTTTCATGATTCAATTCTAAAGTTTCAATCAATTAAAGGATTGATATTATATTTTCACTCATCCAATCATGACCTGACACAACATTTTGCGTATTATACTTTGTAAAAGTAGTATTATTCAAAACTTTATTATAAACCCCGTTTTGTTTGAAAACTTAGAAAATGTTTTTACCATACAATGTAGGATGTAAAAATCCACTTTAGCACTAGCCTCACAGCCCCAGTTCACAGCTTGTGCTTATTACTGGCTTGCCAATGAAAATGACAATACTGTTATTGCCACTGTTGTCATCCTGCATCATGATGCCATACTAGCACCTCCACCACCACACCATAGTCATCTGCCATCAATCCTATCATCATCTCCAGGCGTGATAAATAGTACAAAGTTTGCCGGCGCATGAACTTGATAAGACGGTATAAGCAGCACACTTCAGTTCAAACCCTTGAAATTGTTACAGCAATGAGAAACTGCTTCTTATATTTTCTTAATGTTACAGTCATCTCAATACCTCATGGAATTCCTTTGTTAGCCTGATAGAGAAAGGCCCGGTATTGGTCTTGTTAGTTCACAAATTTCTCAGAAGCAACCTTGATACTGACTCTTCAAATTTTTTTTTTTTAAAGACCAGGAGAGACATGTATTATATACCCTATTTCTGCCAAAAACTTGCACAGATGATCTATATGATATACACAAACTTGCCATAAGCTAAAGGATCACTTCAACATATTTGTCACATCCTTTTTGGATCTTACAAATACCGGAGAAGGCGTCAGAGTATTTTGTAGTTTTTGCTTTTCCAAATCCGGAACCAGCAGAAGTTTGGCTTTCTGGTCACATTCTTCAGCTTCTGGAGATTTGTTTGGAGGGCAGGATCCATACATTTGCACCAACAAGCTTCCACCTACCATAAGATGCAGTTTACAAGTTTCAGTCCAGTATTCTTGAACAAAGCTATGGAAACATTATGATTCAACTGTAAGTTTTGAATCGATCTATAGTCTAAAATGACAAGAAACTGCTTATTGTCATCCTATGTGAACAATTATTCTAACTTGGATGACTTCTGTTCATTTCAGATTCTGAGTAACAGGCCAAACCTAAGACTAGGTTTGTTTGGTGTGTTTAATTTGCAAATATACACACTTTAAAATTGTCATATCTAAAGCTATGTGTCTCGGCATTTTTGTTAAATAACACCAATGGACATTTTATTAGCAACGGTTAACAGTACAAAACAAAAACTCAGTCAAACTTTTTCTTATTTAAAGTTTAGATTCTAAAGAAGTGCGGATATTTGTATATGAGAATTTTCATTCAACAACTAATAAAATTGGAACAAATCAAAGTGGGAAGATGAAGCATTTACCGAGCACAAGAGCAGCCCCAATCCACCCGGCTGTGCCCCATCTTTCACCAAGGAGAAACCATGCAAAACCAGCACCCCAGAGTGGTTCCAGCCCATAAATTATGGCTGTTTCTGTAGCTGAAACATCTCGCATGGCAGCAATCTAAAAGGACAAAAAAGATTTCTATGAGAAGATTTCAATTTCCTGCATGATTTCATTCCCATTTAGATTCTTGTTTACTCGCAACACAATAAATTCAATGTACCTCAATCCATAAGCACATCCCAGTTGAGAATACGCCAGTGTAAAGTGCAGGTACCCATGGAAAGGCAACAATCCAGTCCCATAACACACTCCATGTCCATGATGATTGATCGAAATCTTGGCCAGCATCAAACCATCTTCCAACCAGAACCCAGATTGTAGATAACAGAGCCACAACACACACCTAATGAAACCATAGAATAACTCAAAATTCATAACTTGAAAAGTTCAGAATTTCAACCAAAATTCTTAATTGTGGGTGTCCGTTTTCTTTTAAAATCCAGATTGGGTGAATTGAAGGAAGATAACTCATTCAAAGGGAGGAAAGGAACCTCATATCCAAGGAGTGGTAAGAAGTTCTCTTTGGTTGTGCTTCTTGAAATCCGTTCAGTCCGGAGCATGTGAATTCCGAAGAATATTGCACTCAGAAAGTTCAAAAGATCCCCAACCTGAAAGTAATTCCTGTAATCAGTGATTTATGATGATGATAAGATAACATAGCAGAAAGGCAATTTTCTGTTTCCAATGAATGGTTCCATGACTTCCATTGCATTAACATAACAAAAAGCCCACAAAAATGGAGACAGAAGAAATCATAAACAGCTTACGTTTGGAGGAGATCCACTGCATTCCAGCATTCCAACTCCCAGGGCAGACATTAGAACTCCAAACCAGGTGCGAGCGGGTATCATAGCACCCAACATCCCATCAAGCAATGGTACTACTATTACCTGCATAAATTCACCTGCTTTTGTTACTAACGAAAACTCTCAGGTATGAAGCTAAAACCAGACTTGAACTCTCGTCAAACTCCTGTTTGCCAGAGTTCAAGTCCGGATTGTTTTGCACTCAATCCCCTAGTTGTTAAAGAGTCAGAAACAGAGCTTACTGTAAACAAGGAAATAAATGATGCACGCCCTGCATCTGAGGTGAGCAATCCAAGTGCCTCAGCTAGGTATCCTAAACTGATCCATAATCCCAGCTCTATCCCTGCATTGCGGGTCTGAACATCACCTCTTGCCCGGAACACAAATGGCAAAAATGGAATTGCTGACATTGCAAATCGCACAGCACAGAATGCTGCTGGATCCATTGTGTCTTCAACAGCTTTTAGAACCGGAATGTCACTTGCTGCAATTTGAAGTAATCAATCAATGAAAACAGCAAGTTGGAGGGGACATTTTTTTAATAATCTCAAAACTTGCTTTGGGAATTAAGCGTAAAATTGAAGCTCTCGCTGAACCCTACAATCTTGGAAGAATCTTGTCTTTCAAAAATCTCTATCATAGAACCATAACAATAACAAGATAAACTATGAAAAATCTATTGATGGATCCTGGAACCAAAATAGCTCAATATTTGAACTTTCTGAGGTTTATAACTATACAAGAAGTGTTTTATCCATTATTGAAGACCTGAAATTAAGAAACTTACTTACCATAGACAACTGTGATGACATTGAGCAAGAGAATACTCTTGATCTTATTGGATGTAAACAAAACCCTTCTCCATAAAGGCTTCCTTTTGATAATCTTGAGGGTCGTTTCATTATTTTCTCTCTTCTTTTCACCTGAAAAACACCTCTTACTGCTTCTTGAACTCTTCACACTTACAGTCGAAGAAGACGAAGAAGATGGTTGAAGGCAGAAAGTTGTGGTGAAAGCGAATTGTTTCTTGAGCTTATTTTTTACACTTACTGTAGAGAAGAAGAGGCACATGGGGTCCTTGTTATTGTTGAAATAAGTTGACATTAAACAAGTTTTTTGAATTCTCCATGCTGGTTTTGGCGGGTAAGCCATGATTCTCCTGCAACTCAAACTCAAACTGCCATGGAATCTCAAGTTTATATGAAAAAGTATTATATCATAAACTTTAACAAGATAAATTACTGTGTTATCTAATGATAAATTTGAATTTATTTATTTTTTTGTTGAATTTATAAATAATTTAAGGGAAATTATAAAGTTCAGAAAATTCAGAACCATGGAATCATAGATTATGATATTTTTGGATTCGGTAGAAAAGAAAATATTCAACATGCGCGAGGCGCATGGGATAATGGTGGGTTTGCAATCGGATATGGACACGTTGATAATGTGAAGAATCGCCAAAAATTTAAGAAATGGATAGACTTTGTCAAAATCTATTTACTCGTCTTCAAATATTAACTTAATCCTTCTAAAGTTGAAGAAAATGCAAAACTTTTACTTGGATTTTAGTCTCTCATGTGGTCAGTATTGTTTGATTCTTCATCATTATTCTATATACATATATGGCTTTGCTTGTTCATATAAAAGAGATTTTCAGAAGCAGTCTTTAGTCTTTATCAGTAATGTGAAAGAGATAAGCTGTTCTTTCATGGCCTGGGAAACCACCAGCTACATGACGAAACCAAAGTCAGGCACAAGATTCCTTTTAATATAAGGGAATTTGATTTATATTATCATATTCTCGGGTTTGCGAAACAAGGGACAATCAAAACTTGGTCTTGTGCTAATAAACCCAAACTTTGCTTATAAAAATGGCAGTAGATGAAGATGAACAGCCAAATGAAGTACATGAAACAGATCAAAGGGCGTGATCTTCTCTTCAAAGAGAAACAAAATAAAGTCATTAATTTGCACTCACAGAGAATCAAATCCATTAGGGAAATCCCTCAAAACACTCAACACCAGTAACTCTAATTCAATATTTCTGCTGAATTGCTGCACTGAACATTTTCAGCAGCAAAGATGGTGAACACCTTCAGCTGTCAGTGCCAGCATCTTCATCTTCATATTCAATATCTTCGTCAACAGTGGCATCCTGGTACTGCTGATACTCAGCAACAAGGTCATTCATATTACTTTCTGCCTCAGTGAACTCCATCTCATCCATTCCTTCTCCAGTGTACCAATGCAAGAAAGCTTTTCTTCTAAACATGGCTGTGAACTGCTCACTCACTCTCCTGAACATCTCCTGAATCGACGTCGAATTCCCGATGAATGTCGATGACATTGCCAGCCCTTTTGGTGGGATGTCACAAACGCTTGATTTCACATTGTTTGGAATCCATTCAACAAAGTATGATGAGTTCTTGTTCTGCACATTTATCATTTGTTCATCCACTTCTTTTGTGCTCATTTTGCCTCTGAACATTGCTGATGCTGTGAGGTAGCGGCCATGGCGAGGGTCGGCCGCACACATCATGTTCTTGGCATCCCACATTTGTTGAGATAATTCGGGGACTGAGAGTGAGCGATACTGCTGTGAGCCTCTTGATGTTAAAGGAGCAAATCCCACCATGAAGAAATGAAGCCTGGGAAATGGGATCAAGTTCACTGCTAATTTTCTCAGGTCAGAATTTAGCTGTCCTGGAAACCTTAAGCAACATGTTACTCCACTCATTGTTGCTGAAATTAGATGATTCAAGTCCCCAACTGAAAGAAACAGAAACATTAGTTATTAAACATTAGGCGACCATGTTTTTGAATGTTGTTGTAAACTTACAGCTGGGAGTGGTGAGCTTGAGAGTCCTGAAGCAGATATCATAGAGAGCTTCATTGTCAAGGACCATACATTCATCAGCATTTTCCACCAACTGATGAACAGAAAGTGTGGCATTGTAAGGCTCAACAACTGTGTCTGATACTTTTGGAGAAGGAAATACTGAGAATGTCAGCATCATTCTGTCTGGATATTCCTCTCTGATCTTTGATATCAGCAAAGTCCCCATTCCTGATCCTGTTCCTCCTCCAAGTGAATGACACACTTGAAACCCTGCATTCATTAAACAAATTACTCCGTTTGTGCATTGGATTCCAAAGAAAAACGACTTAAAAATATCGTTGAAAGTTTCTAATAATTTAACAAATTGGATCTAAAAATTATTGGATCAAAGAGAGTACCTTGCAAGCAGTCACAATTTTCCACCTCTTTCCTCACAACGTCAAGCACAGAATCAATAAGCTCAGCACCCTCAGTGTAATGGCCCTTGGCCCAATTGTTCCCGGCTCCAGACTGCCCAAACACAAAGTTATCGGGCCGAAAAATCTGACCGTATGGACCCGTTCTAACGCTGTCCATAGTACCCGGCTCAAGGTCCATGAGCACGGCCCGTGGCACGTACCGGCCATTACTAGCCTCATTGTAATAAACATTGACTCTCTCTAGCTGCAAATCAGAATTTCCGACGTACTGGCCGGTGGGATCGATGCCGTGCTCATCACAAACCACCTCCCAAAACTTTGATCCAATTTGATTCCCACATTGCCCTCCTTGAATGTGAAGAATTTCACGCATTTTTGCTCTGTAAGAGGATGCCACAAAAGGGTGGAATTGGGAATAACTTGTCACTAGACTCTCTCCTCTTTTAAGGGTTTGATTGTTGAATGAGTGAAGGTCAAGGGAGTTATTTATATAGCGGGGAAGAGTGATATGAAAGAGACATTTGAAAATGAAGGGTTAGGATTGAGTTTGATTAAGTGATCAAATGGATAAAAAAATTAGACCTTCTGGTAAGAGAAAATTATGTCAATTAGTGTGGCGGACTGTTATGTGAATAGTTTGCCAAATGTAGTGGTTTGATTAAGCCTAGCCGGCTTAATAGGGCTTTTTTCGCAATCGGATATGGACACGTTGATAATGTGAAGAATTGCCAAAAGTTTAAGAAATGGATAGACTTTGTCAAATTCTATTTACTCATCTTCAAATATTAACTTAATCCTTCTAAAGTTTAAGAAAATGCAAAACTTTTACTTGGATTTTAGTCTCTCATGTGGTCAGTGTTGTTTGATTCTTCATCATTATTCTATATACATATATGGCTTTGCTTGTTCATATAAAAGAGATTTTCAGAAGCAGTCTTTAGTCTTTATCAGTAATGTGAAAGAGATAAGCTGTTCTTTCATGGCCTGGGAAACCACCAGCTACAAGACGAAACCAAAGTCAGGCACAAGATTCCTTTTAATATAAGGGAATTTGATTTATATTATCATATTCTCGGGTTTGCGAAACAAGGGACAATCAAAACTTGGTCTTGTGCTAATAAACCCAAACTTTGCTTATAAAAATGGCAGTAGATGAAGATGAACAGCCAAATGAAGTACATGAAACAGATCAAAGGGCATGATCTTCTCTTCAAAGAGAAACAAAATAAAGTCATTAATTTGCACTCACAGAGAATCAAATCCATTAGGGAAATCCCTCAAAACACTCAACACCAAGTAACTCTAATTCAATAGTTCTGCTGAATTGCTGCACTCAACATTTTCAGCAGCAAAGATGGTGAACACCTTCAGCTGTCAGTGCCAGCATCTTCATCTTCATATTCAATATCTTCGTCAACAGTGGCATCCTGGTACTGCTGATACTCAGCAACAAGGTCATTCATATTACTTTCTGCCTCAGTGAACTCCATCTCATCCATTCCTTCTCCAGTGTACCAATGCAAGAAAGCTTTTCTTCTAAACATGGCTGTGAACTGCTCACTCACTCTCCTGAACATCTCCTGAATCGACGTCGAATTCCCGATGAATGTCGATGACATTGCCAGCCCTTTTGGTGGGATGTCACAAACGCTTGATTTCACATTGTTTGGAATCCATTCAACAAAGTATGATGAGTTCTTGTTCTGCACATTTATCATTTGTTCATCCACTTCTTTTGTGCTCATTTTGCCTCTGAACATTGCTGATGCTGTGAGGTAGCGGCCATGGCGAGGGTCGGCCGCACACATCATGTTCTTGGCATCCCACATTTGTTGAGATAATTCGGGGACTGAGAGTGAGCGATACTGCTGTGAGCCTCTTGATGTTAAAGGAGCAAATCCCACCATGAAGAAATGAAGCCTGGGAAATGGGATCAAGTTCACCGCTAATTTTCTCAGGTCAGAATTTAGCTGTCCTGGAAACCTTAAGCAACATGTTACTCCACTCATTGTTGCTGAAATTAGATGATTCAAGTCCCCAACTGAAAGAAACAGAAACATTAGTTATTAAACATTAGACGACCATGTTTACGAATGTTGTTGTAAACTTACAGCTGGGAGTGGTGAGCTTGAGAGTCCTGAAGCAGATATCATAGAGAGCTTCATTGTCAAGGACCATACATTCATCAGCATTTTCCACCAACTGATGAACAGAAAGTGTGGCATTGTAAGGCTCAACAACTGTGTCTGATACTTTTGGAGAAGGAAATACTGAGAATGTCAGCATCATTCTGTCTGGATATTCCTCTCTGATCTTTGATATCAGCAAAGTCCCCATTCCTGATCCTGTTCCTCCTCCAAGTGAATGACACACTTGAAACCCTGCATTCATTAAACAAATTACTCCGTTTGTGCATTGGGTTCCAAAGAAAAACGACTTAAAAATATCGTTGAAAGTTTCTAATAATTTAACAAATTGGATCTAAAAATTATTGGATCAAAAATAGTACCTTGCAAGCAGTCACAATTTTCCACCTCTTTCCTCACAACGTCAAGCACAGAATCAATAAGCTCAGCACCCTCAGTGTAATGGCCCTTGGCCCAATTGTTCCCGGCTCCAGACTGCCCAAACACAAAGTTATCGGGCCGAAAAATCTGACCGTATGGACCCGTTCTAACGCTGTCCATAGTACCCGGCTCAAGGTCCATGAGCACGGCCCGTGGCACGTACCGGCCATTACTAGCCTCATTGTAATAAACATTGACTCTCTCTAGCTGCAAATCAGAATTTCCGACGTACTGGCCGGTGGGATCGATGCCGTGCTCATCACAAACCACCTCCCAAAACTTTGATCCAATTTGATTCCCACATTGGCCTCCTTGAATGTGAAGAATTTCACGCATTTTTGCTCTGTAAGAGGATGCCACAAAAGGGTGGAATTGGGAATAACTTGTCACTAGACTCTCTCCTCTTTTAAGGGTTTGATTGTTGAATGAGTGAAGGTCAAGGGAGTTATTTATATAGAGGGGAAGAGTGATATGAAAGAGCCATTTGAAAATGAAGGGTTAGGATTGAGTTTGATTAAGTGATCAAATGGATAAAAAATTAGACCGTCTGGTAAGAGAAAATTATGTCAATTAGTGTGGCGGACTGTTATGTGAATAGTTTGCCAAATGTAGTGGTTTGATTAAGCCTAGCCGGCTTAATAGGGCTTTTTATTATTTTTTTAATTAGGCTTCCATTTGGAGTATGAGACAAATAATGGGCCAACTTTTACATGTGAATATAATTTTTTTTTAGGGCTTTTTTTAGGGCCAACGACTATGCATACCCAAGGTTTGTCGAAACGATAAGTTGGTATCCAAAAGGTTTTAAAACGACAAATAGATACCTTCTGTCATGTTCTGTTAGTGATTTTCATTTGATAATAGTGAAAAGACTAAAATGCCCTTAAAAGTTTAATATTTTAGTTTTTTATAAATTTAAAATTTTCTAAAAAGCCCCCAGGTTTGCTAATTTGACTAAATACCCCAATATATAAAAAGTTTATAAAATAACAAATATACCCCCGCCACCCACAGTGCCAGATTCCGGCCACCACCACCGAAATCTGGCCGAAAAATTGCGTTACGACACAGACCCATCGAATCTATGTCGTAACGCATAGATCTTTCATTTTCCGGCAAGATCCGTGGTTGATCTGGCCGTCGAGGCCGAAAAAGGCCAGACGTAGATCTGGCCTTTTCCGACCAGATCCGTGGCGGATCTAGCCGGAAAAGGCCACATCGGTGTGTTACGACACAGATCTGACGGGTCTGTGTCGTAACACAATTTTTCGGCCAGATTCCAGCGGTGGTGGCCGGAATCTGGCACTGTGGGTGGCGGGGGTGTTTTTGTTATTTTATAAAAATTTTATATATTGGGGTATTTAGTCAAATTAGCAAACTTAGGGGGTTTTTAGAAATTTTTAAATTTATAAAAAACTAAAAATTAAACTTTCAAGGGCATTTTAGTCTTTTCACTATTATCAAACGAAAATCACTAACAGAACATGACGGAAGGTACCCATTTGTCGTTTCAAAACTTTTTGGGTACCAACTTATCGTTTCGGCAAACATTGGGTATGTATAAGTCGTTCTCCCTTTTTTTATTGATAATGTCAAGGTAACGTTATCGTCCTGTTTGTACTGTAAACTAATGGTTCAGATGAGATGGTGTCGTTTAGAGTTTAGATGGTTTCGATGATTACCCAAATAACACAATTTGCAATTGAATCGTTACAAATGCAACTGATTTATTATATTATTTGAAATCACGTTTAGTTCGAACATAAATAATATTATCTACTATATGGAATTTTGAATTATGATTCAAAGATTGACTATATACAGTGATTTAGGTTTAATTTATGACTAGTACAAAATGGGTAAGGGGTCAATGGACCCCTTAAAGTCAATTTTAAATTTAAAATATAAACTTTGCTTATCAGTCAACCCAATAATCCTAGGGTTTAGAACAATTATAAAATTACTTTAATATTTAAAATATGTTTGATACAATATTTAAAATCTGTTTTAAACGTTAAAAAGCATAAAAAACAAATCGTCAAAACTAATTTTCTTTTTTTCTCTTTTTCATTTTTATTTTAAGATTATATATAAAAAATATTTTTGAAAATATTTTAACCCATTTTTAACTTATAATTTTTCATAAATTATTATTTGTATCTCTTATCTTCAAAAACCCAAAATTTATATTTAAATTTAATATAAAAAAGAAGTATACAAAAGTCTTCAAACCCTTCTCTTCTTTGTCATTTTGAATTGCCATTCCTTTTTCTTTTACATTCAAATTAAGTATTTAATAATAATAATAATAATGTATCAACATTTACTCTCTTATCATCATGTAAAAATTTGTATTTGTCTCTCATCACTAAATTGATAGACTATATATATATGTTATTAAGCTCTTTTTCTCATAATCTAACTTTTTTAGGGTGAGTTCCATCCAAACCCCTTAAGTGAGCTAGCTTCCAACGTGAGGAAGAATAGCTTGGTGTGTTGGAGTTGTCGACTATTTCAACATTAATGGGTAACGCAGATGCATTCGGAATAGGAATACTTATAAAACTAGGTTTAGTCTCTTAAACCTAGTATATTAACATATTTTTCTCTTGTTATGGGAGTGATAGCAAATCATAGGGCAATTCATTCATTGTAAACAAGAGAGGTGAGGCATATTACAATAACATTGACTCAGTTGGCCGTAGCCCACATTGGGTGAACCAGGGTAAATCGCGCATGTTTTTTTTTTTTGGTTTACTGTTTGATTTGTTTTACTGTTATATTTTGTCCTGTTGTTGCCTTTATTTCGTTCATGGTGCATTTGGTTCATTATTCTGATGCTTTTTAAAATAATATTTTGAAAAAAGTAAAATTAGGTGGTTATTACGATGTAAGATTTGAAAATTAACAAAAATACCTCATAGGTTTGTTTATTTACTAAACACCCGTATAATAAAATATTAAAAATTAACAAAAACACCCCCATCCACCCACCGATATGGCGACTCCAGCCACCACCACTGGAGGGTGGCCGGAGTCACCGTATCGATGTATAACCGACTGGATATGGCTGGTCGTGCACCGATATGGCCTTTTCTCGCTAGATCCATGGTGGATCTGGCCAGAAAATGTCAAATCTACTGTTAGATTTGGCCATTGACGGGCAATGGCCAAATCTGGTCGCATTTGGTCGTCAACCACAGCCAAAGATATGTTCATCGTTGACAATTGGCTACAGCCAAAGATCTTATCTTTTCTAGCCAGATCCACCGTGGATCTGACTGAAAAAAGCTAGATCTGCGCACTACCAACTAGATCCAGCCGATAGTCCGCCATTATACCAGATTTCGGTCAGCTTTTGACGGTGGTGGCTGGAATCTGGCAAATGTGGGTTACTGGGGTGTTTTTATCAATTTCTAAAAAAAATTGGGGTGTTTAGTTAAATTAACAAATTTAAGGGGTTTAAAAGAATTGAATAATATTTTGAAAATAAAGAAATAAATGTATATTGTGGATATAATAGGGAATAGAATAATGAAAAATTGTGTACGAAAGTCCTTGAATTTACAATAAAATTTGGCTTCCTTCCCTATCTAGCAGGTCAGAAGATAGTAATTATTAAACAATAATGAGAAAAAAAAAAAAAGTGTATAAATATATATAAATAAGGAAGACAAAAAGGTACTCAAATTGGAGAATTGAATGATTCCATAATAATGACCAATGAATCCATCTAAAATCTTCAAGGTATTCTTCTGCTCCCGGATACGGACACACATTTCAGAATTTTGGACCACCATTACAACTTACCAATGGCATCAGAGGCAAAAAGGAAAGAAGCTTCAAGATTCCTTTCTCACCAGTCACCACCACCGCCACCACATTTCTCAGACCTTTCAAAAACAGTAAATCTTTATTCTACCCTCCACCACTCGTACATGGTGAAAGGATAAATCTATCATTGTATTAATGTTTATTTGTGTCGATATATTGGAGTTTTAGGTTTTTAAAATAAATATAAATATTTATCCATATTTGAGAATTTTCATGTATATATATTTTATTACCGTCGTCTGTATCTTAATTGTACTGGGATTAAAAATATAACCTATTATATGCATTATGTGATTGTGTATTCACTTGTCTCCTTATTAAACAAGTCGCATTGAGATACTTAGAGCACACACATATGTGTCGAGAGACTGTGACTTAAATTTTTTATTTAATTTGTTGACACTCCTTATAATTAGTCATTTATCTATGTTTATTCAACTGTAATAATTCTTAACGATATATATTTCTACTTATATTTTTCAACTTAGATCTAAAGGTGTGTTTGGTTCATGGAATATTGTATTATTGAGAATATTATATTAATGGAAAGAAATATCTTACCTTGAAGATTACTGGGAGGGGGTATTTAGATCATATAATGTTTTATTATAGGAAGATATTATATTAAAGAAATAAAAAATCACCTTGAAGATTACTGTGAATGTTTAAAAGATGTGTTTAGTTGGTTCGAATAAATTGGTGAATAATATATTTGGTTGGGAGGATAAATTGGTGGGTATGTTATATAGATTACTAAATTGTCTTCCTTTTTAAATATTAATATAATAGTATTTTTTATTATTATTTTTTGAATAACTTCTTTTAACCCCCTACTTTTCAAATTTAGCAAAAATACCCTAGCAACCAAAAACATTTTAAACTTAACAAAAACACTTCTACCCACCCCAAGCCACTGTCAGCAATTAGCCAACATAGTCGGTAGCCACCAACAGTGCCACAGATCTAGTCATGACGTCGACAGTACCATAGATCTGGCAATGGCCGTTTCACAGCTAAAGATGTGGCCGTGAAATGGTCAGGTCTTTGGTCATGAAACAACGGCTATTTACGACCACAAATTTGGTTGTGAAACAGTGGCTATTTTACGACCACAAATTTGGCAGTTTCTAATGGTCAAAAAAGGCCTCATCGGCGCACGGCTGGCCATATACGGCCCGTTATATGCCATTATGGTAACTTTTGATAGCCTCCGGTGACAGTCCACGGTGGTTGGCAATGGCAACTAGTTTTGAGTACAATGTCATTTCTACAAATAATGACAATAACAAGGGCATTGTTGTCCAAAAAATTTAAAAAGTGAGGATAAAAAAGTCTACATGAGTGAATTGGGTGTTTTATAAATCTTAAAAAATATAAGGCTAATTTGGACCAAATGCTCAACTGTTTAGGGGCAATATGGGAAACAAAATTATATTACCTTGGGTAGGTTTTAATAACAGCCCCCCTAAGGTATTAAGATTCCCGGCAATTTAACCCTCAAATGTCATTGTTTGTCATAAAATATTTCGGGAATAATTTTTTACAAACCAACCAAACATCATCATCTACTCAATTTAAAAATATTACCCTAGTTACTTAATATTAACTCCATCCAAACGGCCTGAAATGTTTAGAAAATGTATTTGGTTAGTTGGAATAAATAAGTGGATATGTTATTTAAAATACTGAATTATTCTCTAATTAAATATTAGTATTATATTATTATTTAGATTACCAATATAACCCCCCTACATTTAAAACTTAGCAAAAACAACCTCATAATAAAAGTTTGGAAAATACACAATGGAACCCCACCAAGGCACCAACCCAGCCATTACCGGCCGTCGGCAACCACTGTTGGTCATTGACAACCTAACGGCTCACGAACGGTTGGAAATTGCCTTCATGCGCCGATATAGCCATTCGACTAGATATCTAGCCGGAAATAGCTAGATTATGACAGATCTAGCCGAAAAACGACCAAATCTAATCCTTCGATATCCCCATAATGATATATCGAACACACACATATATGAGTCGAGAGACTGTGACTTAAATTTTTTTATATAATTTGGTGACACTCTTTATAATTAGTCATTTATCTACGTTTATTCAGCAGTAATAATACTTAACGGTATTTCCACTTATATTTTTCAACTCAGATCTAATGGTATATAGGCGTCACGCATGATCCTAAAGTGAGTTAGGAGATACATATTTGTATAGAAAATAGAAACCCTTTGTCCTCATAGTATTTCCAAAATCTTTCACCTCCATACCATATTAAAATTTTGTTCTTATGCAGACATACAAGACAAACGCAGACACACTTAAATATAGACACATGCATGCATGGATCTATCTATGAAAATATTATGAATGGACCATAGATGAGGTGTAAATGATAGTGAGAAAGAGGGTGGAAAAAGGAATGTGAGATAGAGAAGAAATCCGTACAAAAAATGGAGACAGAGAAGAGAGAAGATGAATTAGAAAATAAGAAATGTAGACAAAGGAAAAGGGTGAAATAGCAGAGGGGAGAGAGGGGCAGTTCGGATTGAGAATAAGTGTGAAAAGCACGAGTCATAAGAAGAACAATAAATGAGAAGGGTTGATGAGGCTTATGATAACCCTCATCATCGTCACGTCGTTTTTCTTTTGCTTCTCCCAATAATCCCCTCCCAGAATTCCACGCTTCTTCTTCTTTCTTTTCACACACTCTCTCTCTCTCCCCCTCACCATTTCTCCTCTAGTCAACCTCATGTTTCTTCTCACTTTTGTTCCTTATTAAACCAACAACATAGCTTTCTCCTCTTCATCTCCTCTTTTCTCTGTCTTTCTTTTTCCTATTGCCTTCCTATCATATATTTACAATTTTCTCTATTTCAATTTCCAACTGTATAAGAGTGAGGGTCATTTCATTTCTTCCATTATCCCTGTTGGGTTTGAGAGTGAAAGACACAGAAACAAAAACAGTACTAAGTCTTTCTTTTCTATTAATTATTAATAAAAATGTGGATGATGGGTTACAATGATAGTGGTGACCTCAACATGCCTGACTCCTTCAATGGCCGCAAACTCAGACCTCTCATTCCGAGACCAGTCTCTTCTACTAACAACTCTTCCACCATCTCCCGAATCCATGGCGCTGAAATCATTGCTTTGAATCATCATCATCTTGGTAAGTACTTATCATTTCCTTCTTTGTTTCTTGTTATTTTGTTGCTCTTTTTAGCATGTTTTTTTTTTTTTTTTTAATATGTTTTTGCATATGAAAAAGGTTCCCCTTTTGGTGATCAAAACAAGCTGAGGGAGTTCAATACGCCGCCGGTGGTGGTGAGCTCAAGGTGGAACCCAACTCCTGAGCAGTTAAGAACACTGGAAGAATTGTATCGGCGAGGAACTCGAACGCCATCAGCCGACCAAATTCAACACATTACAGCCCAGCTTCGTCGATACGGAAAGATTGAAGGGAAGAATGTTTTCTATTGGTTTCAAAATCACAAGGCAAGAGAACGCCAAAAACGGCGACGTCAGATGGAATCATCAGACCCTGATCATGAACACGATAATAATAGTCATCATCATCATCATCATCATGATATAGAAATCATTGAAAGGAAAGACGCAGGTAAAAAATATTTGTAAATTCCCCACTTGAGAGAGAGAGAAACAATATTTCTGTCTGGCTTTTTTTGCCATAACATTTGTTGTTTTTTAGCTACGTATAACTACAAATCATTCCATTCGTTGGTTTATGAAATTTGATGATGAGTTGTTGCTTTTGCTCCCTCCGTTCGGATCTGTTGTTTTTTAAATATTATAAAGTTGAATTATTTTTGTTTTTCTTTTTGTCAACACAGGAGCAAGTAGGACGACAGCAGGATATGAAGCCATTGAACAGACCAAGAACAACTGGCCACCCTCCTCTACAAACTGCAGTACACTAGCAGAGGTCTATTTCATCTTCTCACTTTGTCTTTCTCTTTTTTTTTTTAAACTTTGAATTCTTTACTTTTTAAACCCTAAAAAAGCTCATCATAATTTAGCAAATTAATAAGCATTCTTAATAATTTGCATATGATTACAAAGCTGATTATTATCTTTAGGGTTTAGATTATAAAAGTTATATGTATATATATAGAAGAAAGAAATGTATGTAACAAAACAAAAGCTAAATTTGTTTGTTGGGAAATGTAAAGGGTTTAAAAGCTGCAATCCTTCCTTTCTGTCGGGGCTGCTGTTATGTTATGTTATGAAAATAGATTGGTTTTTTTTGGGTCTTGTGTTATTTTACTTACATTCTTGGCATTTAGGTCTGTGATTTGGGCACCCTCTTTAACAATTCTATCAAAATGAGCAACTTGATAGTGAAAGGAGAAGCCTAAACCGACCCCAATTTTTTTTTTTTTTTTTCCGGTGACCGAAGGTGTCTATGCTAACTTGTGCGCACCTAAACTAATCTGCGCACCTAAACTAATCTCCTAAGACTCTGAAGTTAACAGCCAGATAAATCTCATCAATGTCCACCCCTATTAACAACCTAAGTTAGATCGAACTCATGACTGTTTAAATAATACATTCAAAAATCCTAGTTGACCGTTGTGTCACCCAGTGATGGTTACCCTAACCCAATTTCTCTTCTCACTCTGACTCACATGTATAGGTTTAAAAAAATTTCAAAGAGAAACTTGGATTTTAAACTTTAAACACTGCAAGTATACAAGCATTCTATTTTTACAGTTCAGGTTTTAATGTTACGAGATAGTGTCAGTAAAGTATATATTAATGTCGATTAAAAAGTCTTCTGTGTATCTTGTTGCAATATAAATCGCACTTGTTTTATGTAGCGTGAAGAGTTAATATTTTGCATGCATGGACTTTTTTATATAATCAGGAACCAGTTTCAATACAAAGAGCTGCAAAAGCAGCAGCATTGGCAGAATGTAGAGCAGGAGGAGGAGGATGTGGATGGATTCAATTGGAAGAAGAGGAATTACATCAAAGAAGAAGCTTTGTAGAAAGGAATGCCACGTGGCAGATGATGCAGTTGTCTTGTCCTTCTTCTTCTCCTCCCATAAACACTTCTTCTACTAATAAAATCCCAGCAGCAGCAGCAATAAGAACTTTGGACCCAACGAAACAGTTCTTTAAAACTCGGGACCTCAACATTTTTATTGCTCCAAGCTGCAGAGAATATGGCCATGGCTTTAACCACTTAAACGCTCTTACAAATGCAGAAGAAGATGGCTGTGGAGGGTCACAAACACTTCAATTGTTTCCTCTCCGAAGTGGGGACGACAGTGAAAACAATTTAGAAAAGGGAACCAATGTGTCGGCTGCTGATATTGATGCCAACTTGACACCTTACCAGTTCTTTGAATTTCTGCCATTGAAGAATTAATTAACTGAGGCAACGGAGAGTACTTTTTAGTTGAACTAATTACTTTATAGCTAGGGTTAAAATTAACTAGGATGTAGTGGGGGTCGGACTTTGCTATGTGTGTGTAAGACTATGGAATATATTTAGATTATTTTGTAATTTTTTATATTGGTGAAATTGAGACAGTTTTTATCGTTTATGATGCATAGAATTACTGCATAAAATGCATTTGGACCATGTTGGTTGAGTCAATGAAAGCTGCATTTAAGAGATTATTAATTAGCTATGGCGAAGTTGATATATAGACTGAGGAAAAACTCAATATACATTATCAATTATCAGAATTGAGAAAGGCAATTAAGAGAAATCAGAATTGGAGCTTGCATATTCAACATTTGAACCTGTTGTTTGTGCTTTGTAATTAGATTCTCTAATAGACCATGAGACAGAAGGAATGGGGAACATTATGAACTGATCCCAATTCAAATGCATGATCCCTTTCAGCAGCTGGTTCATTTATATTATATATTATAAGGTGTTTCAAGTTTAAATGCTGCAATTCCATGGCATGAAACTTCATGCAGAAGTCTATGTACATATTTTTAACAAACAAGTAATACAGACTTAACAGAGGAGTCCGTCATTAATGTCTGTAAAATGAAGCCGGCCGATGCATGCAGATTATATTGTTCACAGACACACAACAGATGAAGAGAAGAGAGAAAGGCGACTGACTGACTTTTTGAAGGAAGCAATGAATGAATTAATGTTTAAAAATTTCTCCATATATTTTCAAAAGATCACGTTCGGGTCGTAGCTGAGACAATACGCATTGTCTTTCTCTCTGAATTATATCTGTCCTTCCAACTTTTTAATTTTATCTGTTTCACCCCCTGCAAGCTGCAACATCAGGTACTGTCTCAGTAGCCAGCAGCCAGCCTCAGCCAGCCACAGCCTCATATCTCTTTCTCTCTTTCATGCATCCCCTCCCTTTTGCCTCCCACCTTGAAATAAGGGATCCCTGATTATTGATACCTCCATCAGGCATCAACACAATTTACAAAGAGAGTCAAATTGCTTCAAAATTATAGATATTTGTGTACATTTTCATGTAATCTTGATCCATTTTTATCAGCATATATACATTAATCTATTATGTGATGTGCATACCCTTATAAATCCAAAGCTGAAATCATGATCATTCGACCTAAGATACTAAGATCATAACACCATGAAGGGGTTCAAAAAAGGTCTAATTGGGACTTGAGAGAAGAGACCTAAATTAATCTTCTTCGACATTCCTCAGTTGGTGAAAGACAAAAGAAAATCAGCTGCCTCTTATACAATTGGTGCAATTGCTCCCAAAAGAATTTATGAAACGTAAAGGGTGAGATGATGATCAGTTCATCTGTTCCTAGCTAGCTACTAGCAGGAAAGATATTTAAGTCTAATTAATAAAGAAAGATACAACACTAAACAAGCAAAGCAGCTTTTAACATTACCAACGTAGACAAAGGCTTCACTCTTTTGACTTTCTACAAAAATTTCAGATCGATATATTATGTCTCTTTATATTAAACACCTTTATGAGAGTGCACACTTGTATTATATTTAAGCTCTTCTAGGCTCTAGCTGATTCAAACAAAATAAAAAACATATGATAATCTCTTAATTTGATTTCAAAAATGTTCGTTGGATCAATTGATCCGGATAAAATAGGGATATATTGAAAATATTTACTGGATGAAATTTCATTCATCTTGTTAACAAGTTGTTGTATAAGGAAGTGAATTGTTTTATATTGATTTGGTGGGTACCAAGTTTAATCTTTAATTTCGGTTGTAAGATGTCTTTGGAATCAAGGGAATTATTGATTTGCTGTTATGTTCATGGACGTAAGACTCATTAACTATTCTTCTAAATTGTTTTTTGAATTTGGGGAAAACAACCAGTTTAAAACCGGTTAACCAAACTGATTATTCAGTTTGGTTAGAAACTGGTTTATAAGAAAAACTGATCCAGTTTCGGTTTTACTTTTCTTTGAACCAGTTATCTGGTTTAGTTAAAAAATAACCGAAACAGTTTGATTAATCAGATTTTGCCATCCTTACATTCTATACGAGACTTTATACTTGATTACTTGTATAAATATATATTAAAACATTATATACAAGACTTTATCCACATAATATTGTATATATAGACATATATAATCATGATTTAAGGTGATTAAGAGTATTTAAGAAAAAAATACTTTTTTATCAATATTCAGAACATATATACATAACACATTGATATATAGAAAACAATTTTTTTTTTTACAATTCTCTCTATTTTATCCACACAACATTCAAATCAATATACAAAAAACATTTTTTTATCCACACAACATTCAGATTAATGTACGTAAAACATTTATTATCCAACTCTATCTATTTTATCCACACACAACATCTAGATCAATTACAAAAAAAAATTTTTTTATCTCAAAAGCTATTTTATCACAATATGAAGTAGCATATTCATTTGTTGGCAAAAATGAGATAAAAGGTGTACCTTTGTATGAAAATGTGTTGAAAATCAATATGTTGCAGACGGTTCTAACACTTGCAATAAGGGATTACACTTATAACTTTAGATGATAAACGTTTGACGCTAGAAAAAAATATGTACTTACAATAAGGAATTACACTTGTAACTTTAGGAGATAAAACGAGTAACTCTACATGTTTTTTTTATTTTTTTAAAGCAATTTAATTATTACAATAAATAAATTCCTACTTTTCAACTTTCTAATAAATTAATTCCTATTTTTCCATTTCTATTTTTAGAAACATTGAAGTAATAGTTATTTCTTTCTCATTTTAAATTGTTTTTTCTCCCAAAAGCAAGGTTTAGGAGCCAAAAATAATTTTATTTTACTAAATGATAAATTTGTAAATTTACTTTTCTAAACTTTTTTTGGATCCGGAACAGCTCAACTCATTTGATTTAAATGGGGAATGAGGAGGGATCAGGGATGGTTGGGGGTGCGGAAAGAATGAGGAATGAGGAATTGGCCTGGGGTTTGGTGATGGATTGGATGGATGGATGGCACAGTGTGAATTGACTGGGCATGAGGCTGCAGAATTTGACAAGACCAAAAGCCAGTTAGACAAATGTCCAGAGTCTGATGGGGGACCTGTTGCCCTTATATGGTCAAATCTATATCTCTCTCTTTATCGTCATCATCTCACCTCCCCCTCTCTCTCTCTCTCTCCAATAAAAACCTTATTATTTACATTCACGCTACCTTAACTTTACAACTCAATTACAGTATTTTGTTTATAATTTCGATGTAGTTCATCATTTATGGTCTGGTCTACTCAATTACGGGTTATTATCTCAAAAATTTTAAGAGAATTTTAAAAGAAAATTATAAGATTAAACCGTGAAACTAACATTATTCTATTATTTAATAATTTGAGGAAAATTATTATGACTGTTTCCTCTCCAATACTATCCCAGAGGACGCATTTGATTCAGAAATATTATATTACTAGGAATATTAGATTATTGAAAATACAGATTACGTTGAAAGATTATTGAGAATTTTTAGAAAAATATGTTTGGTTAGTTGGTGGGTATGTTATATTAACATATTTGATTATGGAGAATAAATTGGTGGGTATGCTATTTAAATTACTAAATTTTTCCTTTTTAAATATTAATATAAAATTATTTTTATTATTAATTTTTGAATAATTTCTTTTAACCCCTAATATTTCAGATTTAGCTAAAATACCCCCGCTTATATAAAACTTTATTTTATGACGAAATCACCCCCACCTCCTGCCGCTGCCTGCCGCCACCGCGAACCACGTCGGATGTCCCCGAAAGTCCCCGTGAGTACGTCACCTTAACCAAGAGGCTCCGCTATGACCGTTTCTGGCCATATTGATGGCTGAAAACGGTCATATCCGGCCAGATCTGGCCCGATATGGCCGTTTTCGGCAATCAATATGGCCGAAAACGGCCATAGCAAAGCCTCCCGGAGCCTCCCACAAAATTTCCTTCTTTTTTAAGGACTCCGGCGCTTTCCGGCGGTGGTCCGTGGTAGTTGGACCCCTGTCGGCGGTGGTGGTGGTGGCTTGGTGGCAGTGGTGGTCTGTAAATTATTTTAAATATAAGGGCATTATTGTCCAAAATTTTAATTAAACAAGGGTAAATTGAAATAAGATATTAATGTAAATTTGTTTTAAAGTAGGGGTATTATTGTCTAAAATTTTTATTAATAAAGGATAAAATTGTAACAAAAAAAGATAACCCTGATAATCTCAGAAAACCTAAGAAAATAGAGGTAATTGGATTACCTCTGATATTACCAATAGTAACCACTATTGATATTTGAAGATTACCGGTATCCTATATTACTTGATAACCAAACATGACAATCAAGTAATATAAGATGATATTACTCCAGTAATCTCACTTAACCCCCAACCAAACACCCCTTTTAAGTAACGAGAAAATATTTACCTAATTACCCTTCTAAGTCAGGCGATCAACGAATAACTTTGCCCAAAATTTAACCAGCGTTACTTGTGACGTGATGATGAATTTGATTCATGTTACTACTGTAGCTTAAGCTAATTGTAGCTCAAGGACTAATACGTTAAAATCTATAGGCGGTGTAATGGCAACATTGTACCCATAAAATAACTTCGACGCTCAAATTAGCATACTTCTTGTTGGGCCTTAACTTGGGCTGGTTGAATAACTCTATTCTATTTCTCAGTTTACCCAAATCAGCCCAGGCCCATACTCGTCTCAAATTATAGATAGATGACAACAGATTCTGTATATTTTTATATTTTAATGAGGAATATTTATATACATATTAAAATATAAAAACTTTTGAAGCATAGATCTCTGAATGTTTGTTAGACTTTGATTAAACGACAATAATTTTGATAGAATCTTTATCAAATATTGGCCCATTTATGTCTTACGTGGCTCCCAATTTTATATTATATATATATATATATATATAGAGAGAGAGAGAGAAAGTAAACGACATATTCCCACTCAAGGTTTGACGAAATCCTAAGTTAGTACCATTGGTTCCATTTATTATAGATTCCCACCCTTAAAATGACAGAAAAATGTTTGATATAATGATAAAAAGGTAAATTGGTC